TTAATACATATTCAGAAACGCTTCTCCAATTTCCTTGATATTCGCATCCCAGGGTCTTTCCGGACGAGCAGTCGAAGGATACCGAGGATGCCATATAATCAGGCAGTACGATGAAGAAGGATCGAGAAGGATCTAGGAGGCGGTACGAAGATAGAGTTATATTAATTTCATATCCCTTCCGTCGCGGGTCCAAGCCAGCTTCAATCATCTATTTATTGCCAGCATCCAATCTGAAGTTCTCTGTGCTTCCTTCCTCCTGCCGAAGCCTCTTCGAGATATCGTCTAGATGCGGAGGAGTGGCTGCCATAGCTATTAATTTCGATTAGCCGTCGCGAAGGGATCGCTGATTGAAAATGACCACTTGCCACTTGGCTCCCTATCACTATTCACTCTCGAGTGGACTCTGTACCCAGAAGATGGACCATCCATCCCATTTCCTTAAAGATTTCTGCCTCGCACGTCAAACTCGATTCGAGAAGTATTTACTCTTGTATCAAAGACAAAAAATAATCTTTTTACCCTAAAAGTAAATCCAACATGATTAACCCTAGAATGTATGACAGGGCCTTCCGAGTCCTAATAGCCACTTTAAAATAATATCTTTCAGCTGTGTCATGCATACTGGGGTTTAAACAAATTAATTTTTATCCAAATTTCATTTCTAAGAGCCAGTCCTTCTTATGAACGATATTTACTCGAGGATCAGCAGGATCACGTGGTTGGTAGCACATAGTTTTCATAATATAATGTAAATGTTTATGGAGGGTGCTAAATGTAGAGCGTTGTAATGCCTGCTTTACGACTATGGTAGTTTACACTTTACAAGTGGCATCCAAGCTTAAGCGAACTGCTATATCATTTGAATATCAGATACTTTGCATTTAATGTGTCGAACGGGTATGGTGGGTCCAAAATATAATATTGCATAAACGGATCTTTATTGAATTTAAATACATATATAGAGAGAGACGAAAAATATCTGATATTAAATTCTGATCAAGTATTCAGTTAGACTACCAAGCATAAAGATCTTAACGGGCTTGGAAAGTTCCTTATGGATACTGTATAGGCTCCAGTGAATTCTGGCATGTGCCCTTAGTAAGCATGGGGGAATGCATATTCCTGTAACCGATAAAGGAATTTGTGGTCCAAGTTACGTTACTCCTAGAGATCGGCACCCCTTTTCCACCCTTCGAACGTTACGTCCTCTTTACCCCTTTCATCCGTTCACCCTGGCAACCTTACTGACTCCTAGTCAGCCCAAGGCTAGTTCCTCCGTAGACCCCTTAAGCTTAACTATCCGGAGAAGTTGGAATCGGTAGGTACCCCGCGACGAAGCTACAAACTCGCCAAACCTCCCTCCTTCCCTCATTCAACCCTACATTCACCCCATGCACACCCCAAGGAACCTAGTCATGGCTATATTAGTGTGGAAGTAAGAGAGGTGGGCTGAGAAGTTAGGCTATCCTAAGCCCAAGCTTTGGAATAGCATCAGACTTGGCTATAGCAATGAGAATAAGTTGAATTGAATGCGAACAAATTAATTTTATTACATTTTCTACTGATTTAATATTCCATTATTAATTAAAAATTTACACAGAACGCGAGTGACGGTTAATTAAATAAATTGTGTCACAAGAATTTCCATACGATATCGGAATCTAGGATTCTTGGTGCACTTAGAATTTTCATTACTTCTTTATCATCTTGTTATTTATTAAAACAGTGGGACTTCGTCAAAAATCTCTGAGACTATGAATCTTCGAATTTCACGCTTCACCTTTATAACCTAAAATCCCTGATAGGTCGAAACTACGATAACTCGAAGCATATTTCGTTTCCCTTGAGATTCGAGTTGTCGAAGTTCCACTGTAACTGGTTTCATCGTCTAGAGGGACTCGAATCCTTCACCAGGTGAGAAGTACAGCCGAAAGATATTCGAAGAGGACGTGGCTTACGGAACGAAGAGAAGCGGGTAATATCGATTGCACGTAAGATTGCCGCGGGCGGCCTGGCAAGACTTGTGAATTGAGATTGAGTTGCTCCTCGAGGAGGAGACTAGGGATTCTGAGAGTGGGAGAGAGACGACGACAGGGAGAAGGGAGACAAGTCCAGGGACTGCGGAACACTGATGAAAGTGGTCTTGGGGGATCTCGCGTGGTTCGGGAAAGGCCGTGAAGGATGCCGCCCCAATACCTTAGTATTACGCGTACTGGTTGCCGGTTCGATCCATCAATTTTCACAAGACCACCAATATCACCATCCCCAATTCCATTAGCATTGGCATTGGCATCCAATATGCAATTTTCCACACGCCATAATATTTTATATATACACATATAATTTATGTATAATTCCGTCCTGGGTGTACGCTATAGGAATTCATTATGTCTTCTCACGCTTAATTCTCGTGAAACCTCCATTTTGAAAAGTGCGAAAATCAAGAGAAACTGTTAGTACCGCGATCCGGATTTCCCAAGTACTAATTAATAAGGCGGAGCTTATCAGAAGGAACCCATGAACCAGATGTAAATTCCATGGCAAAGTGCGGTGGGAAGGGGGAGGGGGGTATGAAGGAGGGATGTCTAAAGGGCGAATCTCGCGATCCTAAGGGCTTGTACTCATTTCGTACAATCGAGAGTCCGGATCCCAGCCGTGGATAGGGCCGAAGATAAGGCGTAATTAAAGTCTGGCGAAGGGGCCGCCGGGACTCCGCAGTCTGAGAAGCTTCGAGTAGGGCATAAACTTGCCCCATGAGACACCAGGGTGCCCAGGTTGGATTAGTTCCGCTGAGAATCACAAAGCCACTGTGAAGCCATCTTCTTGGCAGGTTCGCTTTGCCGTACTGGCGTCCTCATGGAACTCGGACAAATGGAACAGCCGAAAACGTCAGTCGAAATGCCAGAAGGAAAGGATCTTCCTTAATCTTAATAATCTTCAGCGACTGCACTGCCATCTAGTGATTCTTTGTGTTATTACTCACAAAAACCATAATCTAATCACAGTTCTCCAATCAGAGAGAGAAAAAAAACTTGTTTCTTAATATTATTCATATTTATTTCTAAATAGTATCCTATTGATATCTAGAATCTACAAAATTTTACGTTTTTCAATTATTTACTTCAATATAATTTTTATTTCAAGTATTCAATAAAATTTCTTTGATGCACAAGCACCGAGACGACCCTTTTCCAGTTACCGTCTTAAGATTTCTAATGACGAGATTAATTCTCCTCCTGGTCAAGACTGAAACCAGTTTTTGCGAGCTGTCCTGGGCTGTTCTCAGCAGACCAGCCAGTAAATTAGGCTGGACGCAGGGCTATCGGGAATACCTTGCTGCTTGGAACAGGACCGGAATGAGAGGATGTGAACTGTTTTTGTTGAGTTTACGTCGAAGTTTAGGAGGGAGAGTTGCTTAGCAGCTGCTCAGCAGCCGCACCACCAACTTCGAGCTACTGCAAATTTACTTAATTGAAAAGCGACCTTAAGTACGTTCTATCCTACGATCCTGATATATTTTAGTCGCAGATAACTGTGACGTAAAAAACATCATATGATTGTCTATTCACTTTTTTATTTGACACTGTAACAAGATCCAATGACATAGTAACGATGATTCCATCGCCAAACAGATTCAAGCAAGCAGTCTGACGTTTTACTGTTATCGATAAAAAATTGACAAAATATTTTCAGCTACATTTTTTTTCAATAAACGATATTCAATTAGATTTTAATAAAAAGAAAGCTGCCAATACTTCCTCGAAACTATTTCAAGCCGCATAGAATAAGTCACTTTTTATCTGCTAAATATTTTCTGTTATAATAATACGAGCGGTTTGACATATAATTCTCTTGACGAAATTCAAGATATTAATGTCTTCAGTTTCAGAGAAATATTATTAACTAACAAGTAACCTGTCAATTTTGCAATTGATTAATCGCTACGAAAAGATCCCTCTGGGACAAGATAAGCCATCATTTTGCAAGAGACAACATTGACGTATACGTGTATCATATTGAGCAATGACCACTGGTCAATTAGACAGAAACTAGCAAACAGTGACGGCAATGTATTATTACACTTGATAAACACACCATGTTTATTAATCTTTAGACGACGGGACAATTTCTTTATGAACTTTACCATTTTTGATCAAAAACTTTGATATATATTAAAAAGTAAAATTGTAGGAACCAACGTATAGCCGGAAAATCGGCTTCCTGTGAAGTCAAGTAACAAAAATATAATTTTTTCATAAAACACTCACATCGAAAGCCCACTAAAATCATTGAAAATATACTCGTACACATTGCTCTTAAGTATTGTATTTAATTAAAATCCATTATAATAGCCACACCGATCATTAACAATTATAGTAAAGCTATAAAGATTTTCATGTAAAATCAATTGAACACCGAACGAGGAATTAGGTCTAACGAATTTTTATATTATAGCTCCTTAAGATCACCTTGAAAAGTGTCAGAGTTTATCGAGAAGAGTTTCTCAATACGAGGGCAAACAGTCACATGAAGATTAAACATAAAGATAATTTTGACCCCCACAGCGCTCTGCATTCTTTAATCTGTATTCTAGACACTAATAGACAAAAAACAGTATGAAACTATCAGTAGCTCATAACTCTTCAAACCATCCGGTCACATATGAGAAGCCTACTAAAAGTAGTCACGTAAGATTTTAACCTATCTAAAAAGACACAACGATCATTATTAAAATCGATATAATTGTCAAAAATTTATTAAAGTATCTTACTGTTATGTTTATTGTCAAACTGCCTATTATTTATATGATAATTCTATTGATAAATACTTAAATGTTACTGTAGTTTTACTTCAATTAATCGCCTTTCACATTGTTGTATAATGTCTAAGCCGGTTTATCAAGTTTAATTAAGATTAACCTTACTGTACGAACCATCCAGTTGAGAGTCACTGATCCTACAAAGAAATGTAAAAGCGTGAAGAACTCTGTGTAGGTTGTTGCATTAGTGTCCGTAACATAGGACTTGTGAAATGGAGGGACGATAAGTATCACGAAGCGAGGAACCGCTTGAAAACCGTCAGTCTACTGTGACTCCGTTTATTCTAACCTCGTCCGTCTCGTGATTAGTGTCCGACAGTCTCTAGAAACTAATATTATGTATGATATTTTATACCAAGTATAAGTTTAATGTATTCTTGTAGATTTATTGCTACTTGTCCAGTAATCGGTCGTTTGTTTTGATTTTTCACAGAATATTACACAGAAGCATGGCCACGGACGTACGAGGTGTTGTGCTGTCTGGCACGGAACTAGCCAAGTAAGTTTATGTATATAATTTGAGTGTATTAATTAATTAATTAAACGGTTGTGTTAAAGACAGCAAAAACAGACTGATAAATTATACTGATAAATACCTAACTTTATTGAATCTCTAGATTTGTTTTAAATTCGAAAATTGTTTGTGGTGCTGTTTTGGATCAATCTGAATTTGAAAAAAATTCTGATTAATTGAACAATTTCAATTCAATAAATGTATTTATGGTATATTATGGAAAGGACAGTTTTTTGTTAATTGAGAAGCATTTCGTGTGCTCCATATTGTAATGAATGATTAACGTTCTTATTGATATATATGACCTCGAGTTACAGTCCAGAGAAACCTGTTGCTACACGGTATCGTTAACGAACCAGAATCATGTGTTCAAAAGTTTCTATAGTAATATTATTAGTTCATTTCATAACTTTTTATAAGACCGATAATAATTTTACATAATTATTTGCACTCCGTTTGTTTATATCGCACAATAAATATGTATTTATTATTGTATAACTTTCCGATTTATAGCAAAGGCTTTCAACTTTCATTTAATTTCAGGGAAATTCGCGAATCCTTAACCAAGGATGTAGCTGTCCTGAAGTCAACGCTGACGGATTTTGCACCGGGTCTGGCAATTGTTCAGGTTGGTGGCCGCGAAGATTCCAATGTCTATATTAGAATGAAGATTAAAGCAGCCAGTGAAATAGGAATCAAGGCAGAGCACGTTAAACTCCCAAACACGATAACGGAAACGGAACTTCTCAACAAATTATACAAATTAAATAACGATCCCAATGTACACGGAATCATTGTTCAGATGCCATTGGATAGTGTAAATCCAATAAATTCTCATCTCATCACAGATACCGTATCACCCGACAAAGATGTCGATGGGTAAGTCATAGGAAAAAAATTATTTTTACAATAACATAATATTTTCTATCGACCCAACTTATTTGCGTAGTCGATCATACGAATTGAGCAATTTCAAATCGAGATTATTAATTACAAAACTGATACATATTGATAACAATTTAATCAGGTTGACCTTTGTTTTTTAAATACATACATAATGTTGCTCGATTATGATTATAAATATAGAATACACTGTTTGGTAATAGAGAAAGTAAAACCTCTTAATCTTTCTTTTATCATGTTTGATGTTTTTTTCTTATATTTTTCAGACTTAATACCATCAATGAAGGAAGAGTCGCCATTGGCGATATGACCGGTTTTTTACCCTGTACACCAAACGGTTGCATTGAACTTATAAAAAAGTACATGCAATAATATTTCCTACATTTCCACGCAGATTAAGTGACTATACAAATGAAATAATTGAAATTATCAATTTCAGGAGCGGAGTTCCAATCGCAGGTGCCAACAGTGTCGTTCTGGGTAGAAGTAAAATCGTCGGTACACCAGTGTCTGAATTATTGAAATGGAATAACGCAACAGTTACAGTTTGCCACTCAAAAACTAAAGATTTAGCAAAAGTGGTAAGTACTGTACCAACAAAATAATGTAAATGAAAAAAAAAAAACAAGAAGGCTTAAGAAAAATTATTCATACACGTTTTTCTGAATAATAATGATAATTTTAGGTATCTCAAGCAGACATTTTAGTTGTTGGTATCGGACAGCCTCAACTCGTCAAAGGTTCCTGGATCAAACCCGGTGCAGTCGTTATTGACTGCGGCATCAATTCTATACCAGGTAAATTCATTTTTTTTTCTAGAAGTTGTGTATTTTTTTTTAAGCGGTAGTCACGATAATACAACTTCTTATCGACGTATTATAATGACCGTCTCACGTTACAGAACACAAGACATAATATATCCTATGTCGAATACCACGTACTGGCCAGTACATCGCACACCACCCATAGACTAAAGTTATTATGTATTATGCTTTGTGCAGACGCTACAAAGAAATCGGGTCAGCGCTTAGTAGGCGATGTGGACTACGACGAGGCTGTCAAAGTAGCTTCGTACATTACACCAGTTCCTGGAGGAGTTGGTCCAATGACAGTAGCCATGTTGATGAAGAATACAGTAATCTCGGCACAACGAGCAGCTGAACGATTGATAAATTCTAAATGGAATTTGCGAATTTTACCACTGAATAAGCAGAAGCTGGTTCCTAGCGATATAGAAATCTCCAGGAGTCAGGAACCCAAGCAAATTGCTAGTTTGGCAGAAGAAATTGGTCTTTCCCCAAGTGAATTCAGTCCGTACGGCAGCAAGAAAGCGAAAATCAGTCTGAAAATTCTGAAAAGATTGAAGAATCAGTCAAATGGAAAATTTGTTGTTGTTGTTGGAATTACACCTACGCCTTTGGGTGAAGGAAAGAGTACTACTACGCTTGGCTTGGTTCAGGCTTTGTCAGGTCTTCGTGGAAAAAATTCTTTTGCTACTTTGAGGCAACCCAGTCAGGGTCCAACTTTTGGTGTCAAAGGTGGCGCTGCTGGTGGTGGTTATTCCCAGGTAATTATATACATCAATTAAATCTAGTTAACTCATAGTGAGTGTGTTTGATAAAAGATAATAGTGAATTATGTCTTATAGGTTATTCCTATGGAGGAGTTCAATCTTCATCTCACTGGTGATATTCATGCAGTCAGTGCAGCTAATAATCTTCTGGCCGCTCAGATAGATGCTAGATATTTTCATGAATCCACACAAACAGATAAAGCCCTTTATGAAAGACTGGTGCCAACTGTTAAGGGTGTCAGAAAGTTTTCCAAAATTCAGATAAAAAGGCTACAAAAACTTGGGATTACCAAAACTGATCCAAATTTGTTGACGCCGGAAGAACAGAGTAAATTTGTCAGATTGGACATTGATCCTGAAAATATTACCGTGACCAGAGGTAATATATTTTAAGCAGTACTTCAAAGATTTCTGATTCTAAAAGGGAGGATTTATTAAAATTCATTACTAATTTCAGTCGTTGATATAAATGATCGTTTCCTACGTAAAATCACTATTGGCCAAAGTCCAACGGAAAAGGGACACACCAGAGAAACTTCCTTCTGCATTTCCGTGGGTTCAGAAATAATGGCGATTCTGGCTCTGGCTACTAGTGTTGAAGATCTGAAGCAAAGACTAGGAAATATGGTCGTTGCTTTCAGCAAATCTGGAACTCCACTTACTGCTGAAGATTTTGTGAGTTTTGCTATTCAAATTTTTTCAATAAAATTATCAAACTGGATTTGATTTATAAAGGGAATTCGATTTGATTTCCCAGGGTGTGACTGGGGCCATGGCTGTTCTCCTGAAAGATGCTATCGATCCAACACTAATGCAATCTTTGGAAGGTACCCCAGTGTTGGTACATGCTGGACCTTTTGCAAATATCGCCCATGGTTGCTCATCCATCATCGCCGACGCTATTGCCCTTAAACTCGTTGGTCCCGACGGCTTCGTTGTAACGGAAGCTGGATTTGGTTCCGACATCGGCATGGAAAAGTTCTTTAACATAAAGTGTCGTACATCCGGTCACATTCCCAATGCTATCGTCCTGGTAACAACGGTCAGAGCTCTTAAGATGCATGGAGGTGGTCCTGCAGTGACACCTGGTGCAGTCCTTAAGAAAGAATACGTAGAGGAGAATCTTGAGCTGGTTCGCAAGGGTCTGCCAAATCTTCAGAAACACATTAGCAATGGAAACAAATTTGGAGTTCCTGTCGTAGTCGCTATCAACAGTCACGCGTTAGCAAAGCTTTTATTAAAATTTGTATTTTGTAATAATTTTGCAAAATTTGTAATACATTTTTTATTTACAGTACGGACACTCAGGCGGAATTAGAACTCGTCAAGGAAGCAGCTATTGCAAGTGGTGCAGATGATGCAATCATTTGCACTCACTGGGCTGATGGCGGTGAAGGTGCAGCTGCACTTGCAGATGCAGTTATTGCTGCAACAAATAAACCAAACAAATTTAAATTCTTGTATGACGTGAACGCAAGCATTGAGGAGAAGATTAATATCATTGCCAAGGAAATGTATGGCGCTGGACGAGTTGTCCTTGCGGACAAGGTCAGTTTATATAACAAAACAAAAAATAGGAATATTTTTTTTTTCAAAATTTCTTATTATAGGTCAAAGGAAAAATTGCCGAATACACAAAATTAGGATATGACAAACTCCCACTTTGTATGGCTAAAACTTCCAACTCATTAACGGGAGATCCAGCAATCAAAGGTGCACCCACTGGATTCACCCTGGATATTACTGATATCTTTGTGTCAGTAGGAGCTGGATTTGTTGTTCCAATGGTTGGAGAGGTTCGTGATTGATATTAATATTTGTGTTTAAAAATTATCCAACTCTTGTAAAAACTGAAATCAACGTAGAACTAATAATTGAATATTTTAATTTATTAGATCATGAGAATGCCAGGACTAGCTACCAGGCCAAATATCTACGACATGGATTGGAACAGCGAAACAGATGAAATTGAAGGACTTTTCTAAATATGGCAAGACATGAAGCACTTGTATTTTGCAAATTTTGAGATTCAACCACTATGTTGGATTTATGTATGTATGGTACAGATTGTATCAGGTCCACGTTGTTATACTCTTTTGTACTGTAAAAATTTAATTGTTTATTTGTTAAGATCTGAACTTGTTATCCACATTGCTATAATACATTTATAATTAAAAGAATGCACAACCATTTCTTTCTTATCACCACTACCAAAATCTAGGATTTCTTAAGGAATAATAGACAACTCAAAGAAAATTAAAGCAGCACTACTTTATTTATGACACAAATATTTACTTAACTTTAATCGCAGCCCTAAACTTTGCCGATCTCGATCGAGGATTATTATCGATTTCATCAAAGGAGGGAGTCAGAACATGCTTATGTAACATCATCCAAGGGGAACTTGTCACAACAGCTACTTCTTCTTCATTAAAACATTTGTCATAATTTGAAAATTTTAACGGCTGTGTATTAGCTACATTTTCTGTTACGTGACCAGTCAAATGTCTCTTTATTATTGTATCCTCCAAAGAATGGAAGGATATAGTAATAAGACGACCACTGATTTTAAGATATTGTTGAGCTATAAGAATACCATAATTGATCTCGTTAAGTTCATTATTTACAAAAATTCTCAATGCCTGAAAGGTTTTGGTAGCTTTATGGGAAAATCTTCCTAACTGATCTGTTCTGTAGTCCTCTAGCAAAACGGAATTAACTAACTCTGCGAGTTCACTAGTGGTCTCTAGCTTTTTGAACATAAATCTAGCATCATGAATGGCTCTCGCAATTTTTTTATATTGTTTCTCTTCACCATATATCTTGAGAATACGCTCCAGGTCAATGACATCAGCTCGTGCTAAGACGTCGGCAGCAGTCGGTTGATCTGGGCAACGAAATCCATCCATTCTCATATCCAACGGACCATTTTTAGAGATTGAGAAGCCTCTTTCAGCAATATCAAATTGCATAGATGAACAACCAAAATCAAAAAGGAAGCCATCAATAGAATTTGCTTTTACTCTGTGTTCCTTTAAAAGTTCTGGTAACTCGGAAAATCTTCCCAGTAATGGTACTATTTGATCTGGATACTTATCAGCTAAACCCTTTGCATAGTTGTAAGCCACTGGATCTCTATCTAATGCAAAGATTTTAATATCTTGTGCAGATTCCAACAATTTCGTTGTATGTCCTCCAGCACCAAAGGTCATATCCACAAAAGTTTCACCTGCAGATGGTTTCATGTACTTGAGAACCTCTTCAGCCATTACTGGCAAATGAGGTCTGTTCGCTGGTTGTTCATTAAGTTGTTGACTATATCTTACACTTTGTGTATGAAATCTTTTCAAAGAATTGATATACTCTGAAAAGGCACCACTATTAATTCTTCGTAGAAGTTGTGCCATTCTGGAATTTTTTCAATATCCTCTTAAAGATATTTTGCTCTTGCTCTGCAAAGTAGTTGACGACTTCTGGTGACAGTGCTAAGGTGCACTGCTCTGCAGTAAGACCGCTCGCAGACGATGTTGAAGTACGAGTGTACAATCGTCCGTACTCGTTTGATGCTAATCTACGTAGAATTGCGTAATAGCGATCACACTTTTCCTGATCAACTGGAGAATTAATGGGACCCTTCGAAAAAGCAATTTTTATTTGATCTCTAAGATGCAGTCCTAAATCCCTGTAAAAACATAAATTAGGATTAGAAAATACGTTCATATTTTGGCGCCATTGTCAACAGAATGTATGTCGATAAAACAGTGACTTAAAAAGGACCTAACCAAACAAACTTTATAGAACAGAATACTCTCGAAATTATATGACTAAGAAAGACGGATCTGTTTATAGATATAAAATACTTGTAAATTACACTCACCCTTGTATTTTTGCCTTATCAACTGGCCAAGAATCCAACAGCTTCAGAAAATTCTTATAATTACCGGCCATGATCAAACTGGTCCTAGGCCTTTCGGCATTGCTTGTTTTTTTGGAATGGCGCTGACAATCAATTTCCGGTAAAAATCGACTCACTGAAGTCGAAAGTATTTAGAGGAAATACGATTTGAATTTAGGTATAATAGCAAATACATATTCATAAACTTTGATTCGGAATCAGAAAATCAACGGTTACTGACTCCCGCTAATTATTTTTCAATGTAGACGTAATATAAAAAAATGTAAAGAAAATATTAAACTCTTTAACGGATCTATAGCCTTTATTTTACGTTATAACACTAAGAAGCATAATAGAATATAATTGTATTATTCGCAAATTCGTCATTTATTTGTTGTGCACGAGATTGTCCAATTTTCAATTTTCATCATTGTTCGACTTTTTGGGCCAGTTCCTCTATAAAAAAAAAATCAAAAATTACTTTAAGCTAACCTACCATCGGTAATCAATTATTTTGTGTTCCCTTTAACGTACGTAATTTGCCGGCCACAATAAACTATGAGATAATCTTTGAGCGTCGTTAGCATTATTTAAATGGTTCGTTTCGTTATGAATATTGGTTTTCTCAGGATATAGAACGTTGGTTCCTTCCTGATTGTTTTGAATAATAGTAGCGAGATTTTTGTCAGCGTTGGAGGATTCATCATTAGCCCAAACTTCAAGCACAGCTCCGGATTCATACCAGGGATATACCGTATAGAGAATATTGTATGGAACAGAGTTGGAATAATCAACAGTTGATGAATATGACATACCAACAATGGTAGTGCCAATTATTGCCTAAAAAGTAGTTTGAAATCAATACACTATTGAAAGAATAGGAAAATCTCAACTTACAATGAGTAGATATTGCATCTTGCAGGTTGTTCTTGCGTGTACTTAGGATGGCAAAGATCAAAGCCTTTTATACTAACTTCTTTGAATTTTTTGAATAACTTGAGAAGGTATAAACTTACGTTAGAGATTAACACTATTATGTTTCAATGCCATTAGTTATTAAAACCTGTTAATTGCAAGATAGAATAAGAAGACAAATTATGTTTTATATACATTTAAGAAAATCTTGTTTATTTTTATATTAATGCAAACATGAAAATAGTTAGGTACAGATTAGAGTATAAATTTATATGTATGCTTTATCTTTCAACACTTTCCACAGGAACTACATTGCAACCAAGAAGACCTTTTCCACTCCAAGGACGTGGAATTAAACTCAGGGTCGTTGTGTTAATCCCGCGTTTGATCTTCACTATAACAGATTTATATCGACTGTGTTCGACAACATCTGCGATATCCTTTAATGATTTAAAATTCTGAGCATCAATGGAGCCAAACTCTAGTATCAAATCCTCAATTTGAATACCCTAAAGGAATGTAAAAATTTATTTCAACATTATTACAAGTTATTTTCACGCTGTTTGATAATAATGTATCGATAACAATAAACTTACCGCTATCTCAGCAGGTGAACCAGGTAATACTAAATTTACTCTGAGAAATGGATCCAACAGTATAGTTTCTTGCAAGCTGCTTGTTGCTGCTGGTATAGAGTCGTCTGTCTGTCCTCTCATATACGAATGAAATTCATAAAGCCCCTCTTCTATTTTTTTCATTAATGCTTTGTGATCATTTTGAAGATCTGAAAAGTTATTTGATTAGTAAAAATTCTACAATGATATCGGAGTACCGATGGTCTGTTAATTACATACATATTATTCTATTGCGAGCATGTCTCACTTGGTATACATCTATATCTTGCCGAGGATATCCATCATTATCCACAAGAGGATCGTTCATACCAACATGATTCTGAAATTATGAGCAAAACTCAAGCCATGTTGAGCAAAAATTACAAGTCACTCTAAGTGACAGAAATAAACATAACTAATCCGAGTCCTATATGAAAATTTCATACAACACAGATTTCATCCAATACGTACAGAATCTAATATTTCCCTCAATGCTCTCAAATCTGCCTCTATCTTATCCTTATCCTTAATAAGTTGCAAAACCCTTTCCTTATTTTGCTCAGCTTCCATGTTTGCCACAACCATTTTTTTTCCTTTCTATTTGTTACAAACAAACGTTTCAGAAAGTGCTGCCCTCTGCAAATTTTGCGTACAGTGGATAATGGGTGCGGTTGCAGGGTGTGCAACATAAACCAATAATTTCAAACTCATATAACAAGAATTCTAAATTATTTACATATGACCCACCTAAATTTCAACACTTAAGTCCCAACTAACAGTATTTTTCACAATCTAGATAATCAAAGTAATTCCTATATAAAATATTAGAATAATTCGGTCTAATTAAATGTTAAAATTTTATATAAAGTTATCAACAATTTCTCACGTCAAGTACACGAACATAAAACATAACAGTGAACTAAAGAAATTATCGTTTCAAGGTTACGTAGAAAACTGTGTTAAATTTGTTGACTCTATGTAAAAAGACAATTAATTAAAATATTGTAGTTCTGTTCGCAAAAATGAACGAAGTATCGTTGATACTTTTAATAATAGATACTTTTAATCACTTTTGCGTTGGCTAATCTGTTTGGTGTGGCAGTCAGCTGTTCGTTTCGTTTCGTTTAGTTGTCGGGCGGGTCGCGAGACAGCAGCACCCCATCACGTGAGACAATGGTTTCGGCGACGAACGAGTAGACAAGCGATCGTACAGAATTTCGCGAGAAATTCAATCATTTCCCGAGTCGAGAGGACTTCGGCGAGACTCGAGGCAATCAGGTATATATTAATAACACATAATAATTATAATAGCAAATAGTTTTTCCATGATAATCCAAAACACAAGCTACTTGGACGATAACCCAAATACTGGGAGCAATCCTTGCCCTTCTTATGCGCAACTTTCCTCACGAGTGGTCACGACAATTTTTATTGGTTTCGAGCTGATTTCTATGGTTGTTAAATTATAGTTTGCTCTGTTGTTCATATCCTTGGACGCTTTAACGATACTTGATACTATTGATTTTACTGAAAGCGTCTCGACGCCAGGCGCCATCCGGACAGACGAACGGTCGTCTAGCAGCGTAACGTCTCGTCTGCTAGCTGCAACTCAAGGCCATTCTGGTTCTGTGCACCTTGATGTTATGCTGCTCTCGGTACTTTATTCGCTTCTATATTGATCGCAATGCTACTTCCGCGCGCCATGCATGTATTTCGACCCACGTCACGTGGAAAGCGCGCTTAATTACGTAATCTTTCACGAGGGACGAGATCGAGTGCCACACCCCCTTATGTCTCCTCATTTCTCAACGTTGTTTTATACCCTTTGCGGCTTTCGAGTTGCGAGGATTATCTGTGGTGTATTGTGCTCGTTTCTCAGTGTGCTTTTAATTTAAAAATGCACCACATAAAGATAACTGTGTGTTTACTGAATTCGTTGGGGCAGGTGGTTGTGTCTCTAGGAACCCTATTATATTGGAGTTTTCTATGGTTCAAAGTTACTGTATAATAAAAGAAATTTGTGTCACCTTATGATTCTTCTGTCGCATTTTTTTTCTTTACAACAGTATCACTTGCAATGTATAGTGATTTAATAGATAAAATTCTAAGTTGTGCGTGTATTTTAGGAGTAGCAGAGGAGCAATTGTAAAAGGAGCTCTTCAAGATGACGGAATATTGGTTGATATCTGCACCAGGCGAGAAGACCTGCCAGCAAACATGGGAGACAATGAACAACCTTACATCGAAGCAAAACTCCTTATCTTCAAACTACAAGTTCCATATTCCTGACCTTAAAGTCGGAACACTGGATCAACTTGTAGGTTTGTCTGATGATCTTGGAAAGCTTGATACATTCGTTGAGCAAGTAACACGCAAGGTCGCTACGTACTTGGGCGAGGTTCTTGAAGATCAAAGAGACAAGCTGCACGAGAATCTGATGGCCAACAACAGTGAGTAGATCTTGTATATTTCCTATGTATATTTTTTTTCTATATTATATCTTTGTATTCCTCCGTTTTAACATCATATTGATGGATTAACGTAGGCAGGGGTCCAAAAATGTTTAACTGACAAACTGCATAATTTCATACATTAATGTTCAATGTAAAGCATAACAAAATTTATTTTATAATTCTACCATATTTATTAGTAACATCTATTAACCAATAATATACATAGTTTATTAAATAATGAGAATAGTTTAGTGAATGAATGATGCAATCACATAGATTCATTATGCTTTACCTGAGCTTTGTTCAAAGTGAAAGCAAGGATTACGCATGACATCAAATCTAGTTCTAGTCTCTATGAGTTCTTTGCTACAATATTCTTCATGCATAAATAACACTTGAAACTATATACTGTAGTAATCTAGATCCTCCCCTCACACGAAAGAGGATCATATGTTTTGGGCCCTTGCAAGCAGGTATATCAATCCCCTGTGTAAGCGTATTGTGTTTCTATATGTTCGCATTATCGGTCGACCATATAGTAATGGCATCAATGAATACTGTACACAACACGAAACATGCACACTAATTGAAATTGACTTTATTTTCTCGGTAGCCTCAAGTATTGGTTAATTTATTGAAATTTCAATTCGTTTCGTCGGAGGTAATGAGTTCAACATGCAAGACGTTCCATTTAAGACCCACAATTTCCTCGAAAACCCATGAGATACATAGCGATGGATTATCACATCAATAATTTTGCTTGTTAGTGTCAATAACAATTACAATCCATTTTATGTAAGCATTAATATAATATCCATTGGCAAATTACAGAAGATGAACAGGCAAAATTCTTGCAGCTGTCAGATTTATAATAACATATGTAATTACTGCAAGTATAGTGTGTACTAATCAACTACGGCTCATTTTAAAACGATATATTCTTTCTGGCAGATACATACGTCAATTTCAAAAGCATAAGAAATTTCGATTTACATCACTGATACGTTTACTACGTCATGGAGAACGGTGAGAAAGCTGAAACTATTCACAAATCAAAGCTCAGCTGTATGCTACAATTACATCTTCATCTAGAAAACAGCAGCTATCAAAATCATCTTGTTATATATAGTTGACACCGAATCAAGAATCCGCAAAACACGCGGCCTGTGCTGAACAAAAATAACAGTCAACCGTATCTCTGAGTTAAAAAGTATATCGATTTATAACGAGTCAATACGTCAGATAGGCACACTATGTTGTACTATGAGATTTACATGTAACGTAGAGTGCTTTTTGTCCTTGGTTGATGATTATTTTAATTGACTATTATATATAATGGACAATTTGTATATGTGGTGTTGCTTTGCTTGCTTTCATTAATTTCGACCACATTAACCCTCTTCCCCTACCTCTTCTTATTGTTTTGATTAATAAATGCTCATACACGTGCACCGCCTCTATATATCGCGACGAAACACCCGGGCGGAAATACACATGGCGCTTACGCCATTTTCTTTTATCTTTATTTTGTGTAACACTATGCGCGTTCGTCACGAAAACGTTCTGGCGCGTCGCAAAATTGATCAAGGATCTCTACTGTACCTGGACATCGAGACTGGACGTGAATTACGTGAATACAAATGAACGGAAAACCAGAAAAAAAAAAGATAATGAAAGACAAAAATAATCATATGTCGAAATATCAATGATTGGAGGACGCAAGGAGATGCTTGGGTTACTGTGGTCACCAAGCTCCAATTTAATAAATGCATAGGTTTTATTTATTTGATTAAATTTTATTTCGTTCGATTTTTATTTTCTCTCAGTTTCTTTACTGTCCACTGATTTATTTTTAATGTTATTAGCCGTTTTGCGTTGCACCGTATACTTAATTTATTGATTCGCAGCATATTTGCTCGTTTCTTCTCTCTTAAGTTATCTCGTCTATCAGTTCTCTTCCTATTAGTCTTATGAGTCTTCTTCAGTTACACATTCATTGTTTATTTACGAATTGTTGATTATTTTTCATCGCAATTTCGGAGTATTTGATGGTTTGCACGTGTAACGAGGAAATTCCATCGATTAACTGATCGTTGCCACAGATTTGCGTGATTTGGTTGAATCTTTTTTTTTTGAGAAAAATTAATTTATAATTATGAAAAAATATTTCTTCGCCTGTGTCGCATTAATTTTCTACTATAGTTGTTCCGTTTGCCGAAAGGACTAAAGAAAACGTAGTGAAAATTGGAAAAAAGAATGAGTGAGTAATCCAAGTCTTGCGTAAATATAAATAAAATATAACGTAGGACGGCTAACATTAAATACTCCGAATTCTTAATTCTCGTCCTCTTTGTTTTCTCTGACTTTATCTTCTTTAATCTTTATCTGTCTCTCTGTGACTTTCTCTCGAGTCGTTATGGTTCAGTTTCGTCAGCGTTGTCGTTAGGCATTTGCGTAGGAGGCAATAATAGTTGAGTGAGACGTATAAGAAAGATCGCGAGAAGATTGGGACTGGGCTGTAATGGATAGGTCAAACGTCAGTGGACGGGGATATCACGAGCCCCGAAGGGGGTGGTCCAGACACCCCGCCAAACACCCCAGTCACACCGTCACACAAGAGTACCAAGGAGCATCATCATCACAAGCGGTGGAGGGACTCGGAGGAGTCTGAACCAGAGCCGGCAATCTGCTTAGGTCAGCAACATCATCAACGTCATCAACACCACAACCATCATCACCACCACCACCATCATCAAAACCAAAGCCAAAACCATCACCACCTCCCTATCTCCGAAAAGAAATCATCATCCAGTTCCCATGGCGCCTGTGACGTCCGAACGCCAAACGACTCTTCGTCGATGTACTCGTGCTACCACGCGCATTGGTGCGCTGCTTCTGCCCCACCGACCCCAACTCCAAGTCCTACCCCAACAAGTCCAAGTCCGTCCCTATCGTCGGACTGCAGCAGCGACGGAGAGATCAGATTTCACCAGGTCCCACGTTCTCGGAACGCCCCGAAAGAACGTCGCACAACGTCAAATACGAAGTCGCTCGGCGACGACGAGGACGTCGATGACGAGGACCAAGAAAACGACCAAAACCAAGACCAAGACCATAGCGGCGACTTGCCCAGTCCAGGTACCCATCCCAGAACCACCGCCTCGTCAGACCCGTCTATACCTTGTCCCGACGTAGCTGGGAGGCTCGTCCAACCTCCTGTCATCCTCTGCACCATGGGCATCTATTGGCATCCGTTTGACAAGCCAACCTGCTGCCCTCTACGCGAACTTTGATACGAGAGAGGTTGTCTCGCTTATCTTGGCCTTCTCAGAGCTTGCGTTCCTGATCGTACACTCGATACCGTGAAAGCAAACTCTGACCTCGGTGCGACGTATCTCTGACTCTCCGGTCTCTATTTGTACTCATTGTTTCTTTCGTTTTAATTTATACACTTGATAAACCGATTCGATGGGACCGAATCGCATTGTACTATCCCGTTGGGTTGCTCAGGCGTATCCCTTTGGCTGTTATATTGCAAAATTATATATAACGATATACATCCGCTGTACTTGCTAAATGTAATTTTATCATTTATAACGATATATACAGGATGTATTCGCGAATACGGTATATATATATATCAGCAGAGCAGACTTATTGAATCTATTAGATATCCCTTTATTGTCCGATTCCTTCTAAGAATTCATTTACAAGTTAGTTGCGACTGGCCATTTGTTATTAATTCAAATAGTCTTTATCATACAGTAAATGCAGGCTATCGTTGCGGCTTATTTCGCGTAAGGCAATTAGTTTGAAGAAAATCCGGACAACCTCTCTTAGTACCTGTTTATACACCGTGGGCAAATTCAATGATACCACAATCAGTCGATTTAGCTTATATGGATTTGAAATTTATACGAGACTTATAGACGACCAATTGACATAATACCGACGACGTTGTTCGCTGTGAATTGTTTTATTAAATTTTAAATTAACAATTTATTTCAATATAAACGACTTGGAGTCATTAGCAACTTGCCAGTTACCAACTAAAATATTATACATACGGATCAGCAGCTTTTATTCTGCTCTAGGACATGAACGTTTAATCATATGAAAGAAAACCGTAATATGCCCATTCTATTTAATGACATTAAATTATCATGTAACGATAATACAATGACATTGGACATTTCTATACGAATAATACGTTCACCGGAAACTGACTACGCCGTCTCGGTGTTCCCTTTAATTTTCAATGCAAATATGCTTAATCGACTGTTTAGAAATTATCACTGCTCTAAATATTGGACCACGCGAGTGGCATATACATATATTAATAGTGCACGGTCCCAGTGTAAGCGTCGGTCACAAAAATCCCGAGCTTCCGCTTCTTCCGTTGATTCGTTTGTGTTCTTTGTGCCATTATTCCGATTTCTTTTGTACCTTTTTTCTATATTTATTTCTTACACGTCACCTCTTGTACTCGATTGCTCGAATAGTTTTTATTCCCTTTACTTTTCGCGTCCACGTATACTTTTAAAGCGTTTCCTTAGTGTCACCGTTCACCGCTAGATCATCCAGAGAATGAAAATTGAAAAAAAAAATTCAAAACCTATCCGAAAAGGCAGTTTTACTATCTTCGTGGCGGGATAACACGAACGAGTGAAGTTTTCCTTTTTCTTTTTTCATTTTTATTGATTCCGATAATTTCCCTATCGACGCTACTTCCTGTTCGATATTGGAAACTACTTTCTCGGATAAATCAGTCGATTTTCCATAACCGACGACCATATATGATTGCCAACGATATTTTCATCGATCCGCAGACACCACCTCTTCTTGCAGCACCGATTATTTTTCCCTCTGTCTCGCAGTTGACTTCGATCTTTATTCCCTCGAGATTACGAGGATTAATGTTGCTTTTTAATCGTTAATATTGTTTTCACAGTGAAGACCAATACCGTACAAACGATACATACAACAATATACAATATGAGAAAAATAACGGACTCCGTACAATTACAACAGACTACAGCACAAAAAAACACGATCAACAAAAATTCGAAAGATCACTAAATGGATCGACAATGTTTTTTTTTTTCACTCTACTAAAGCATGATCCTAATAATTAAAATAGACCAATGGACCAGAGTGTGAATGTTGCACGATGATTTCTACATACTGTGATACTGATATTGACTTAGAAATTACTCGTTTTAATAGGACTGCATTCACTTAATACTCGTCGTTTCGACGAGATGCGACGAATGTTTAATCCTTTTTCCAAAGTACCTGTTACTCTACACTGGCTACTTCCAAAAGTACCTTCTCTGCTTTTAACATCCTCAAATTAAATTTGGCTTAATTCGTTACGTCGCACGTTTGGTCGTACGGTTTGGACTTATAACTCATACGAGCGTGTTGCTACAGGGTGTGTCAGAAAAAAGTGATGACTTTTATTAATTTGCGAAGGGAGTGTCGATCGTTGAGTTTAGCACTTTTATGAACGTTAATTATACGAAAAATATGAAATTGCTTAAGCTTGATAATTTAATGTTACAAATTAATTTTTCAAGGATTCGATTTAATCGAGGTACGATGCTTTCTGGATCATCCTGTACCAATCGAAATGTCCTTCCTGCACATCGTATGATTCTTGTAACGAGCACGTGCGAAATCTCGATACCGAGGCTCATATATTTAGATACCGTTCTTTGTGCAGTTGTTAGAATTAATAAATGGCTGAAAAAATTTCTAAAGTAAAATTTTTAACTGGACGAATCCAGTTTCTTTGTAAATGCTCATCGCTAAAATATACTATTCCATATTTAAAATAACTAGCCGTAGTAGCGCGGAGTCTCTGTATCGAGATGCAAACTTTTTATGTGCTGTAAATTGCACGTTCCTTTTGCTAATTCAATTTCACCACTTTTCTTTATGCCTATTTCGAAGTGGAGAATCAACCTTTTTTTTGTTCTATTATCAAATACTGGCCTTTATTCTGATTGCGTTTTGTTGTCTTCGTTACCTTCGTTTTAACCTAGGATCATAAAGTATTTATAGGTGTCCCAGACGCCTGACATAAATATTGCAAGCCTGGTTAAACATTCCTTCGATAGTTGGTGAAAACTTTGAACAGAGTGAACAGAACGTTGCTAGATGTGATATTGCAAACTTGTGATTTGAAAGTGTTACATTTATATTTCCCGTTGGGAAATGTATGAAATTGAACAAAATTTTCTGGTCACGATTACTTCAGGTTAGCGATCTGACCTTTACTGTTTAATTTACCAGAGCTCTCTGTTCAAAGTTCTCTATAGTGTATGATAAAAGAATACGTCATATTGCAGCAGATGCGTTAACATCTTTATGACACTAGGTGATCTGCCAACATACATAACACGATTCCAATGGGACATGGCCAAGTATCCGATTAAGCAGTCCTTGAGAAACATTGCGGATATTATCAGCAAACAGGTCGGCCAGATCGATGCGGACCTCAAAACGAAATCCACTATCTACAACAACCTGAAGGGTAGTTTGCAGACCCTCGAAAAGAAGCAAACGTAAGTTTTCGTTTTTATTTAATCAATTCTCTATTATCGTTGTAGCTGATATACGCCGACTGTTATACTTAACCGTATTAATTTAAATAGGGGAAGCTTGCTGACACGTAACCTTGCCGACCTGGTCAAAAAGGAGCACTTCATTCTGGACAGTGAATATTTGTCCACGCTCCTTGTTATTGTACCCAAGTGAGCCAATTGTGATTTTTCGTTTGTTTATAAGTCGTCACGAATTTTCGTTATTGCCTGTATTTCAAAAATACATAATTCACTCCATTCGCAGGTCAAGCTTCCAGGAGTGGCATGCCGTCTATGAGCAATTGACGGACATGATTGTGCCACGTAGTACGCAGCTGATCACCCAAGATTCAGAGTACGGTCTATTCACGGTGACTCTCTTCAAGAAGGTCATCGATGAGTTCAAGTTGCACTCTCGCGAGAAGAAGTTTATCGTACGTGACTTCACGTATAACGAGGAAGAGCTAGCAGCTGGTTTGTATTGAACAGAGAGAGAGAGAGAGACGGGAATGTTTTATTTATCCGTTAATTGCAAGAGCTTGTGATTTTAATTGAAGAATTATTTGTACTTTAGGTAAGAATGAAATTACCAAGCTCGTTACCGACAAGAAGAAGCAATTTGGACCTCTTGTACGTTGGCTTAAGGTCAATTTCAGTGAGTGCTTCTGCGCCTGGATTCACGTCAAGGCTCTGAGAGTCTTTGTCGAGTCTGTCCTAAGGTAACCTTACAGTTCCTATCATCTGAAATGGAGAAGGAGACGTTTCAAGTAGGATTTTATGTGTTAAATTATTCAAAATTGATTTTAAACAGGTACGGCTTGCCGGTTAACTTCCAAGCAATCTTGCTCCATCCTAACAAAAAAAGTACCAAACGATTGCGGGACGTCTTGAATCAGCTTTATGCTCATCTCGACTCCTCTGCCACAGGTGGAGCCTCGCAATCTTCTAATCAAGATGTGAGTCTGACAGTCTTTAATTATAACCGATAAAAGGTGCTCTAGTGGCTCGTTTATTTCATTTCTTTATTACAGAGCGTGGATATACCTGGACTAGGCTTTGGCCAGAGTGACTATTATCCGTACGTTTATTACAAAATCAACGTAGACATGGTTGATAATAAGGTCTAGTTGATCAGGCTGGATTCAACATCCTCTAGCGCACACTTCACATCCCTTTTGTTTATCCAGTTGAAATTTCTGCTACCACTTCAGATGTTCTAACGGCAGGTGCGTACAAAATCAGTGATAAATGATGAAATGATTTAAAAAGAAAGATAAATATATAACCCTCCTGCGTTCATGTCAGAGGGTCATATGTGAATTTTAGAACCATGTAAAACGTAGTCGAGTCACCCATTCCGTTGCGAACGTCTACAGACTCAGTAATTCCATATACAGTGCAATAGAACATACAATGTTTGCTCGTCACGTCTTCGACGAGATGGCGAAAGCATGAGTTGACACGGAAAGTTATTCGGATATTTTCCACGCTCGGCATCAAATGTATAAAAGACAGAAGAAAATATGTAAAACCACGCTCTGACATTAACGCAGACGAATGTTGGCATAATAGGCGACGCATCCATTTGTAAATACATGTGCGCGAACGTACGACGCAAGGGGCTAGCTATTCCCGATCCTTATTAGGTCGGTGCCTTTGCCTGTTCCACCGAAAGTTCCATTCTTTGTTTTGGCGGAATTAACCTTGATGATGATATGTTTAAGTAAATGATTGTAAGTTAGCGACGAAGTAGCTGGTGGTCTTGATAGTTAAGGGCGCGTTGTTGTCTTGTACCACGTGCGTGCAGAAGAGCATCCATCGAGATGCAAATATTCCGAATGCAAAAAAAAAGTATTTAAGAATTGTAGAATCTTAACGTCACGCGCCTCCCTCTCCCGTACCTCCCACCAGGAGTATATTTAAAAAAGAAGCGTTTAGCCGGATGATTCACAAGGAATCATAACGCATCGCGTTGTACGAGAATGCACTTTGCGTCCTTTACAAAAAAAAAAAAAAAAAATAGAAAAAAATAGAAAATCAAGCAAGCGTGAGTCTCTTGCAACACGCAACTCCTACCCCAGTAAGTATTATGTATGAAACAGTAAGAATTACGAAACAAGGGTTTTTGAGGACACATTTTCGGGAGAATGCTATATGTTAGACGATTAGATAATTGTAAAATTGATTTAGCCAATACCGCGAGCCTTCTCATCGAATACCTTTTATCGACCATCATTCAGTAGATAAGAAAATCAATCGATCGCTTACTCCTCTTCTTCTATTTCTTTTCTACCAACAAATTTATTGGTATCGTGGAGGGGCGAGGTTCATATTATTCTGACAAAGAGAAAGAGACACGAGTCAGAAATTTTGTTTTCCCTTTTCTTTCAGTAGCTCCTCAATCCCAGCACTAAATAACGTCATGACTGCTCGTGCGTGAGGCTAGTAAGGACAGTAATGCAATTTACGTATTAAGCGTTAAACAAAATTGATATATGTGAATCTATGATGGGACAGTGAAAACAAAACGGAGGCAAAATGCAGCACTGCCATTCCTTTGCTTTAACGTTATAAATATTACATTTAGAATTGTACATCGAGGACGTGCAACATAAACATACGCGTTTAATTTATAAGTAACGTCATTAATGCTAATACAATGAAAGAGAAGGGTCATTATTCGTACATTGATCATGCGCGATATTCATTTACAATACACGACACAGACATAAGTATATATACGGACACCAAAAACACATGTACCATACGTATATTGTATTCGTAGCTTTGAAAAATTACTTTATTGGGAAGTGGGTATATATCTATATTAATGCAACGATTGATCCATGATCGATGTTGATAATTGCTAATGGTCTTACGTTGTTTTTATATTAGTGCTTAGTTGTGGTATGGCTAAATGAAAAGTTAAAAAAAAACCAATGACAAAAAAAGTATTAAATCTAGATAACAGTTAAGGACTCAGTACTGCGTTTAGTTCCCTGCCTTCATTCACTGTTTCGTCGTAGATAATAATAATACAGTTTTGTTTTTTCATTTTATAATTCAATGCTCCACTGACGTCATACAGCTCCCGGCGTTTAAGGACACATTGATCGTTGAAAATAATTGATCAATTGCTATACAACTGTTGATGGATACAGCTGTGTGACAAAATGATTTCTTTTCTTTTTCGTGTCTTGATAAAAACAACATTGCATACGTATATTAGAGATTATTGTCTTTGCTACGCCGGCTGACGTTCTTACGAACGAAAATTTGTTTCGTTCTTGACTTTTTCTTTTTCCTCTAACGTGCTACTTCCCCCTTAAGCGTCCTTACATTTTTTTTCACAACGGAACCTCTTCGTATGATGCTTAGATCTACGCTCATAATTAAATCACGATTAACAGTATGATTCGATGAAGCTATTGACAATATGGTAAATGGCGTTCCGCTTACTATTTCTGTGAATGTATCATAATTTATATACATATATTAAAAAGAAAAATGGAAGAAAGAAGGAAACCGCAAAGGCAAACTGTTGTAATTTGTAGATATATTCAAGGTACGATCGACCAGTCGTTTGCCCTTTATTATATTATATACTATACATAATTATAAATAAATATCACGTTCCGTTACTTGTAAACTGTTATTAATTGCTATTAACAATTGTACAATATTCAATTTATATTCCCTTCGTATTTATCCCAAGTTCCTCGACGCTATTCCCGCTCCTCTCGTAACTTGCTAAAATAACAGTGTGAACTCATGTCGAGAACTTGTAATATTGATTGTAAAATTCGCGATGAGTCAGTGATAGCGACGTCTGTTCTAACGAACCTTGTTCACGTACAACGTTTACATGATGACGACGCAAACAAATATTGCAAATATAACATTGTAAAGTATTAGCCAGTAATGACGTGTACATTGCGACGTGTAATCGAATGTGAATACAGTTTAAGAACGCTTCGTGTTATCGATATACTATTGCAAGGTAAGAAAAAAAAATTTATAAAAATATATCAATAAAGACGGAGGAAAATAATAATTGAAGTCAATGTATAAAATAAACGTGTTCTTTTATTTTGACGTATATATAATATGTGAAGATGAGGAATAAAGGATATATCTTCTATATTTTTTTATATAATACCTCTAATACGTAATCAATGGGATGTCACGTTGCTGCTACACAGTAGATTCTGAAGAAAAAAAAATTATCATCAATCTACATCAGCATCATGTATCTGGAACTTGGAAGATTTCTTGTATACACACCTTGAGATCATCAATATGTTGATCCCAGTCACCTTTTCCAATGAGTTCCACGGCCTTGACCATCAACTCCGTGACTTTACTGACGTTCTGTTTGAATACGGCCAAAACGTCAGATGCGTGAACAACGTCCTCAGATTCTCTCCAGCAATCAAAATCCGTGCCTATGGCCACGGCTGCATAGAGAAGACCAGCTTCCTTGGCGACACAGACCTATCAAAAGAAGAGGACGTCTGATTACAAAGTTTATCTGATAAATTATATAAAGTACTTGTCAATCTCGATTTATCATCGTACCTCGGGGCATGTGGTCATGTTGACTAAATGTCCGCCCCATAATCGCAGAGCGTTACTTTCGGCCTTTGACGAAAATCGTGGTCCCTCTATGGCTACGACGGTACCACCTTCTCTGACATCATATCCTAATTCCTTCGCAGCCTGGACCAATAGCTTTGATGTACGCGGGTCAAAAGCGGGCTCCATTGGCACATGACATACTCCTGTAAATTTAAAGTTTTTTTTATTCACTCGCTCTTGTGCAAGATTCAAGGCCGCCCTCTTATTTATATGTGTGACGGGCCACTTTACCAGCATAATTGGGCGACGTGCCGTCGTACAGTGTTCCTTTTCTGTGGACCGTACGATCAAGGAAACTGTCTGGGATAACCAATTGCCCTCTGCCAATTGACTCAGTCAGGGAGCCACAAGCCGTGGATGCCAAGACGTGCGTGCAGCCAAGGAGACGTAGTGCTTCTACATTCGCACGATAATTCACGGCAGTTGGAGTGATTTTGTGGCCTGGTCCGTGTCTAGTATTCGACGATATATAATTATTTTACAGATTTATAAGTGACTGCTGTATAAAACTGTTATGATAAATAAGGACATTATCATCTCAATGTATGCATTACGATTACGTCTTATCAAGTAGTTAACAGAGATAAGGCCAATCCAATCATCCTACAAAATATTAGAAACTAGACAAGATTTTCGTCGGAGCACAAAGAGTTAAGGTCGTTTAATTACATCAGGCTCATTGCCACTATTAAATAAAGCCATGAATAACGCTGAGAGAAAGAATTACACAGTAATATGAAAAAATAAATACCTTGACAGCAATGCTACGTCGACCCCAGATATGGTACCTTGGTACACATTGCTGGATGGTAATCCAAAATCATTCTCGACGTCCTCTCTCTTGACTTCCGTTTTTTTTTGCAAAATTTGATTTTGCGGACTGTCCAATCCAGAACCGCCGATTATCCCGACCTATAATAGAATGAAGAATTTCTATAAAAGTTCGCGTCATGCCATTTAATGATAAAACATAACTGCCATGGTTCACGTCATAACAACCAACCATTATGATTCGTATCAGATCTACGTGACTTTGTCAGTTACCAGTGCACATGACGGCCCCACCTTCTCATACTTAACATATTAATATCGTTTCGTAATAGCTTCTCGTGGATTTATAAGTACATACCTTAATTTTGTATTTGCCCATCACACTCTACTTAACGCTACGGTCTTTTAATTAGTAATCGGCAGTCTTGACGGTGCCTCGACGCGTCAGGCTGTGTCGAATCAATGGTGGTAACGACAGTAGCGGCATTATGGCTCCGTTATTGAGTTGTTCCCGCCATATTTTATGTAAGACCAACGTCAGATGGCAGCGTACGCCAGTTCTTAGAATTTAAACTCATAACGTTTACCAAGAGTTTCTGCATTTGCCGTACAGATGGCGCCACAAGCCTTTACAGCCTGTACAGTACCAAATCGTAACCTGACGATAATAATTATTCTGCCAACCGCGTTAATCACTTTCGTGGGTATTTGATGTTCTGAGCGCCATTCACCCTGGCAATTCTCGTCATTCTAATTACTATTCGACAAGCTGAGCTCAAGGCAGTGAAACAGAACCAAACTCCTGCTCGAGAGCGAAAAACACTGGTACGTATTCTATACACGTTACACGTAGAGGAATGAAAGGTCATTGCGATTCGAAATTTTCTTCGCACCAATTAACAAAGAGAAATACATATTGAGATTTTTCGATATATTTATTTGTATGGACAATTCGGAGCATAGTGCACAATATATTTAATATATAGTAGTCTGGGGAAGGGGGATCAGAGTACATTCTGGAGTCTGAACACAATATCTTACAATTTAACGACAAGATGCCTGCTTTTCTGTATTTGCTTCAGCACGTTACGTTATTCGTATATTCATATGTTCGAGTTATATAATATGTAAAGCGCAACGATCCGCTATTTTTCCCTCTCCTTCTCTTTATTCCGATAAGAAAAAGAAAACAAACGGCAACAGGACGCGAAACGAAGAGAAAACAAGGAACAGAGAGAAAGGATCACGGCTGTGTTTATGTAGTTTCAGTCCACTCTTTTTTTTAATACTTAATATCAATAATTCCGTCTCTTTATCATAATCGCATCCCGTTTCGCCCTAATTAGTCATCTTTGTGACACCAAAAATGGCATCTCCCGTCTGTATAACTTTCCAGTCCCTCTTGAGGTTCTCCCAACATATTTTCATTTTCCTTAAGCCCATCCATATCGATTTTCATGCCCAATGTTAATCGTCCGCAACCCTTATAGCCAATACCAAAGGAGTACCAACTATCCCATATTTAAAATCCACCTGGATCTCTGATCAAAGGTTATTTCGAGCAACAATATCCTTTAAGGTCCTAGTTACATTTTTGACAGCAGGGGGCCTCCCCCCTCAACGGTGACTCGTACGTAATCGTATGCCCTTGATATCTGAGCTCGCCTACCAGCAAGTGTGTGAATCCAGCCCAAGCTGGGGTAACACGTGTGCCCAAGGGTAGGTACGTTAAGGCTTTCACATGCGAGGGTTGCGATTCAGGCGAAACATCCATTAACTTGGTGTTGTACCGGTCGGAGAACAATGTATGTACATATATGAAATAAAATGGTATGTGCGTGTGATGATGTAAATGTTTGGAAATTCGCGTATGGACACAACGTCGTGCGATGCGATAGCGTCCTTAACAATCTACATTAGTAAATTTTCATTTAAAAAGCAAATACATTGTACAGCCTATACAATCGATACAACACGTTTCCACTATTTGTTTCCTCTATTCATTTTTCTTTTTTTTTCATTCTTAGCTCCATTTAGAGCTGGCGGAGAGCGCGGGGCAGGGCTCCAGGTACCCTAGGCTATATCTGTATATTTTCATAAAAATTTCACTATCATCCCTCTTCGCGTTCTCATTCGTTATCGCGTTTGCTTCTGTTTTTCACTTTTTTTTTGTAATCCCCCACCTTCTCTAATCTCTCTTTTTTTTTTTACAAAAATCACAGTACAGCACCAGCATTTATTTTAAAGCGCACCCTTCCTCCTCCCGTCTCCCCCGAGAGCGCAGCACCCCACTAAAACTGAGGCGGCTCGCTCGTTTTTTTTTTATTACTTTTTTTTTCACTTCCTCTCGGCCTTCCTCTCCGAAGCCTGTCCTCGCAGGTTTCTACTGTTAGTTCCTTCGCTTGTCCTTTTTCGTCTTGGAACCTTTTGTATTTTCTCTCCTTTTTTTTTTGTTCACGCTCTTCTCTTTGCTTTCCTTTATTTTCTTCCCCGTTCTAAACTCTTGGACGAAAACGCACGTCCACTGTTCGGTGTTTGCTTGCTTTTTCCATTGCGGAAAAAAAAGAAAACGGAAAACACGTTTTATTTTATTATTTTTTTTTTTGATTTGGCGTTTGCAGCACTATGCGGTCCAATCGTTTCTATTAATTATTTATATTTTTTTGTTTCATTCTCTCTGACTCATGCTCTCCGACGACACGATTACAACGGTCGCTCTTACACGTTCTCATCTCGTAATGATGATGACGATAATAATTAATAATAATAAAATAATTAATAATAATAATTAAAGACAATAATAATTATTACCGAACTAATATTATGTAGTTATTTATATGTATCATGTATATTTATATACGTAATACGTTTTGTTTTTTTTTCCTTAATCCTTTTCTTCTCTCTCTCTCTCACACACACACACACACTTTCTCTCTCTCTCTCTCTCTCTCTCTTTCACTCTCGCCCCCACAATCTACTCGTCTCGCAGCACTAACGTTATTTTAGTAAACAAATAGCGTTTCTAGTTCTCGATTTACAATTACTTAACGTCTCTTAATTATTTAGAATCATCATTTTTTGCCTTACGAATTATCCTCATATCCTTTTTAGTCGTTACCGTTAATTATTATTATATATATATATATATATATATATATATATATATATATATATATATATATACATACATATATATATATATATCCAGTATATAAGAGTATATATGATCTCCCATCCACCATTTACCTACCATTTATCAACCTTCAGCGAACTTTTTCTGTGTCTGTCTTATAAACCATATACCGTCCATTTATACACCATCCATATGTATGAATTCCACCATAGCGTATATGCCATTGGGAATCAAAGTAATGCAATGAAATGATCTGAAGTACAAAGCACATGCACACGTGAAACTTATATCAGAAAATTCTTGACGTTGAAAAATCTGTTACGCAATGTCTCTACAAAAATCGAGGTCTGCCGTTATTATTCTTTACAATAAAATACATTGATCCGAATAGCGGGATTGCTTCTCTTGCTCATTCACACACACGCTAGCGCACGCATACGCAGGACCCCCCCCCCCCCCCCCCCCCCCCCCCCCCCCCCCCCCCCCCCCCCCCCCCCCCCCCCCCCCCCCCCCCCCCCCCCCCCCCCCCCCCCACCC